CCCGCCACGCGGGCAGCGGGGCCGGCAGGACGGCGGCGCCGGCGGCGCTGGCGCCGGCACGAGCAGGGGACAGCAGGTCCGCGAGACCTGGGGGGGGGGGGCGAGGCGGCGCGCGGCTGCGTTAAGCAGAGGCATGGGTGCGAGGGGAGGCGAGGGTGCTGCGTCGTGCGGGCTGGCGTGAAGGGGCGGTCGAGGCGCGGTGCGGGAAGCTGCGCGGCCCCCTTTTGAAGGGCGGGGCACTGCCTTCAAGTCTGCCTGTTTCGCAGCGACATCGCCATGCCCCGCACGGCTTCCCTGTGCATTGCAGGATCTCGTGCAGCAAATGCCACAGGTGCCCCCTAGCACTCACTGGATGGCCCCGCCTGCTTTGAAAAATAGGAATCGATCCCCTTCTGCTGCGCACCGCCCGCCTGCGCCTGCTGAGCTTGCTGCTGCTGCTGCCGCGGTGCGTCGCTTCGTCCGCGCTGCTGCTGTGCAGCCGGCGTTGCTGCGTTGCCGACAGCCGGCTGCCCCTGGGACGCCGCGAAGCCAACACCCGCGCCAGCGCTCTGAGCCGCACCTGGCTGCTGCTGCTGCCGCTGCCACTGCTGCTGCTGCTGCTCCTGCTGCTTCTGCTGGCCGTCGCGCTGCCCCGGCGGCCGCCACTGCTCGTCCTCCTCCTTCCCCTCCCCACCATCCTCCTCGTCGTCGTCCTCCTCGCCGCTGCTGCGCCAACTGTTGCTGTCCTCGTCCCCTCCTCCTCCCTCGTCCTTGTCCGCTGTCCCCCCATCCATGCAGCTGTCTTCCTCCGCCCCCTCCTCTGTCTCACCGCCGCCTCGCCCGGCGCCGACCCGCCCGGCACAGGCGCTGCGGCGCCGCACCCAGGGGTTGGTCCCTTCCAACCCTGCCTCCTCGTCCGCCGAGCCTTGCCGCCGCGTTCGTCGCCGCGGCTGCTTTCGCACCTGCTGCTGCTGCTGCTTCTGCTGGTCGCCTCCTTCGCTGCTGTCGCCGCATGCGTCCTCATCCTCATGCGAGACCGCCGGCTCGCTCGGCCGCAGCTGCCGCGCCCCTCCACTTTGTGGCGGC